GGGCAAATGAAGTCCTTAATTGGCAGCTCCCCCTTGTGATTCTGTAAAGCTTTCTAGGAGATCTGAACATTACATTATTTGAATTCAACTCAATTAGGTTCACTAATGTTTTTCAAATGTTTAAATATTTCTTAAAGGAATACATTTCCCAGGTTACAACTTCCCGATTGGTGATGGAAACCTGCAGTTTGAGGGCAGAAATAATTGTTGTCCGTCTCTGTATTGATATCTTTGACCAGTCTTTCTGTACTTCCCAGCACCCTATGGTTCAGCCTACATTGTTGTGGAATCAAGCCCAAGGGGATCCAACTTAACATTTCATCTTTGCTTTCTGTTGCCCACTGCTGCCCCCCTTTCACTAATCTATGCTGTCATCACTGTCTTGGCTCAGTGGGTAAAAATCCTCCTGCTATGCAGGGGATGTGGATTCGATCCGTGGGTCGGGAAGATGCCCTGGAGAAGGAAATGGCAATCCACTCCAGTATTCTTGCCTGGAAAATCCCATGGACAGAGGAGCCTAGCAGGCTACAGTCCATTGGGTCACAGAGTCAGACATGACTGAGTGACTAAACACACACACACAAACACACACACACACATTCTCATCACTTTATGCCTTCCCTGCCAGAAACACCCACACGCTTACAGACCTCTCTTTCCTCTCCCTGGAATGCTACATTCCCTTTCTGGCCCAAAATTCACATCTCCCTGTCTCGAGTTTCCTGAAGTCCTCCGTGCCTGACCTGTAAGTCCTGGTGAATACAGCCAGCCTTTCCATGAAGCCTTCTCGGATCCTGCAGTCCAAATTAATCCCTTCAGTCTTCTCATGGCTGTGATTTTACAATGCATGCAGTTTCCTTGTAACCTCTTAATACCCTTTTTTGACTCCCCACCAGATACTAACTGCTTGGGACAGGCTTTATCCCTCCAGCTGGCGTAATACCTGGCAAAGAGGAGGCGTTTGGAAAATGTTTGTTGAAGGGAGTGATACATGCAATTACTGAACAAGATGACATTGACAAATTGACTTGCAGCGTTTGGCTGGTCTGGACATATACTAGCTGATGACAGTCACTTTGTTTTTAAGACACTAGCCTTCTTGCCCCCAGAGACCCCAGCTTAACAGGGATGTAGAATAGGGGTTCAGTGACTACATGGGGGTTTGGAGCTGGCAACAGAGTCTCGATGTTAGCAGCAACTTTTCAACACCCCTTCTGAGCTTCTGCTCCAAGGGACACTGCATTCTTTATATCTGGGCACGTCCAGCTGGCACATGCTGCTGTTGCTGCTGTCTCCCAGCAGAGCTGACTGACTACAGCTCGAGAAGCAGGGCTCCAGGCGCCTTCCCAGTGTCGGTTTCACTCGCCCAGCTTGTGATTGCCTCGTTCCAGCTTGGCACCCCCACTACCAACCTGGGAGTCTCGCTGTGTCCGAGTTGGCCACAGTCCATTGTGCTGTGGGGGCTGTCCCTCTGGGCCCAGATGCCTGGCCTCATCCCAGGACTTTGCTGCTGGTTGGGGAGCTGGGCTCGCTGTTGAACCTTCCAGAGGTCTTGCAGGTGATGCTGAGCTCAGGGCTCTAGGAGGCAGTGGTGTAGAATGAGCAGAACTAGGCTTCAGAAATGAATCGTATGCAGTGGTAGCTTTACAGACTGCGAGGATGAGCTGGGCCTTGACACTGAGGTGAAACCACACTGTCACTGCCTACTTCCCTCACGCATTCTTCCTGACGTGTCACTCAAGTTCCTTATAGATTAAGGGATCAATGAACAGCCTGAACAGCCACTTTAGGTAAGAACTTTCAGTTCTGTACTGACAGTGAAATTCTTTGGCCATGTCCAGGTTTCTCTTGATGTGGATTAGACTAGAATTTTTCTCAATTATGTGACTCGCTATCCATCCAGATGCAGGTTTTTAATTGAATTATTTTTTATTTAGATTTTAACTAATAGATATATTGGATTATCTAGTAAGGTTAACATAAAATATCACACAGGTAAACCTTAATGTAAAAAGATGATTTCTCTACGTCACACGGGAAAACCTCAGTGATAAGAGTCTCCCTCCCTTGCTCTGCAGAGAAAAGGAAGACAGAAGGGCATCAACACCGAGTGGGCACTTTATGTATATTGGGCTGGCCAAAAAGTTCATTTGGAAAAACCCAAAGAACTTTTTGGCCAACCCAATATATCATTTTACTTATTACAGCAGTAACATGAGGTAGGGGGTGTAATACTCATTTTAAAAATAACAAAACCAAATCTCAGAACTTAAAGATGACAAAGTTGAGTCTCACTCACATGGCAAGAGGAGTCTATATTCAAGCCTTGGGTGGTCTAGCTCCATGGGTGTGTCATCACCTCTCCTTCATGACTGCAAAGTTTGCTCATTATTTGAGGATATTTATAGGTATATTTCCCAGAAATCTATTTTCTGCTATGAACTGTTGATTGACTCTTCAACAAACCATGGGCTTCAGGTCCTCTGTGATTTGGGTGAAGCTGTTTTCTGTGCCTGAATGTCAAATCTGTTCATTTCTCTTGCAAACTCTTCCTCCCCATGTGAGCTTTTCTTTGAAACTTTCTTTGAACCATACCCCAGTTTTTCCTTCATAATTTTATTTCTTGGATTTAAAAAAATTAAGAGAAATGTACACATGTTTTAGATAGTGGAATAATACAAAGATATATAAATAGGCATTTATCCCCCCACCCGTCTTCCATTTCAGTCCCTTTCTGAAGTAACACATTAAAAACAAAATTTCAAACTTAAGAAGTGTAATGACCATATTACTCTTTATCCAGAGTCACCTATTTTTAACCGTTTGCAGCATTTGCTTTATCATCCTTGCTCTCTTTCTCCTTCAATATATAGAAATATTTTTTATTGTCTGAAACATTTGACAGTAGGTTGCGTAATTCATGCTACTTTATACCTTAATAATTTAGTTGTGATGTGTATTTTCTAAAACCATGGTCATTAGTCACTGTTTCTTTTTAGCTTTTTTCAATCTTAAGTTTGTAACAGTTACCAGTCTTCATTGTCTTTCTATTATATTATTTATATCTTTAGATGTAATTAAAATGATATATTATGATGTATATAATGTTATCATATGTTATTAATGTGATATTTGTTATAATAATGTATACTGTGTTGCATAATTATAATATAAATACATAATCAAGTTTATAGTATATAATTTATAACATGATTTACATGTATGGCATATTATATTAAAATTTTATAATATAAATAAAATAATGAAATATATGTAGGTACAAAAAATGTAAGAACATCTGAATATAAAATAGGAATTTATAATGTATATAGTATATTTTTAAGTATAATATATGTATGATATTGAAAATATGTTATATGCAATAATATATTATGATAGATTATGAGTTGTATTATAGTCAAGAAAGGTTAAAAATAAAGTTAAGCATGAAAATCTTGAAAAAAAAATAAAATTAAAAATTGAAGTATGGTTAGTTTACAATGTTTAGTTTCAGGTGTATAGCAAAGTAATTCAGTTTTATATATTTATGTGTATGTATATATGCACACATATATGTACATGTATATGTGTATATATATGCATGTATATTATTTTTCAGATTATTTTCCACTTTAGGATCTTAAAAGGTATTGAATAGAGCCCTCTGTGCTATGCAGCAGGATTTTGTTGTTTTATCTATTTTNTAATGGGGGCAGTGACTCAGTGGCTGGCCCTGATAAAGGGGGACATTGAACCATTGTCCTGCTTCATGGAGTGATGCCTGGTTAAGGATTTATAAACCTTGATCTTTGGGTCAGTTCATTGGCTTATAGTCTTACAAAACACAGTGACTGCGAGGAACACTGTTCTAAACCAGTGGTTCTCCATATGGGACAAATTTGTCCATGTTGTCCCCAGGGACATTTGCAATATCTGGAGATATTTTTGCTCACCTGGCATGTGAGTGGAGGCCAAGGATTCTGAAGCCTGCAGGACAGCACTTGTAACAAAGCATCATCTTCCCTGAGCTGTGCTGAGAATCCTTGTAAACCAGCTTAGACTTTGGATCAAGGATGAACTGAATTAAACCTTACAAAGTTTTGGTTTAAGAGCAGAACCTTTTCTTAATGTATTAAGACCAAGCTTCTAGTCCTGACTCTGTAGCCTCCCACTTCATTGCATGAGTATGTGCTTAGTCACTCAGTTGTGTCCTATTCTTTGTGACCTCATGGACTGTAGCCCACCAGGCTCCTCTGTCCATGGGATTCTCCAGGCAAGAATACTGGAGTGGGTTGCCATTTCCTTCTCCAGGGGATCTTCCTGATCCAAGGATCGAACGCATGTCTCTTGGGTCTCCAGCATTGCCAGGAGGATTCTTTACTACTGTGCCACCTGGCAAGTCCCTCATGGCATTGTTAGTTATATATGAGTGTTGTGAAAATATTAGAAATGTAAACCCAAATTCAACAATTGTTTCCTGTTTGCTCTGGTATCAGAACAAGATTAACCATCACTTTTGAGTGTGAACTTGATCTCTCAGGCCTTTTCTGTGTGTTGATAAACTTGGGAATGTGAGTGGGCCTGCAGCCTATCCGTACCTGTGTGATAATAAGCCACATTGCTACAGCTTTCTGTTGTGCAGGTCACTCGCACTTTGAGTAATTTAAGCTGTCAACCAGCTTCGGAGAAAAAGCCTGTCTCCTACAAATTTGGAATATAATTTAGGCAATTATTCCAAGACATAACAATAAGGGGGAGACGTCACAACTGCAGATGTATTGGCCTACCGAGGAGAGGGAACAAATTGGTGTGTCACCCGTAGAAGGAGCTGTGAGGTTTCATGCTGGGGAGCCGATTCTTTTTTGTAAGGTTAAAAAAAACTTTACAGCAACTGGAGGGTTTTAGAAAATCCCTGCTGGAAATTATGCTGAGGAAAAAAAATGTTTTCCATAAATATTCTCACATAAAATACACTTAAAACTACAGATTAGAAACTGATACAACATTGTAAGTCAGCTATACTTCAATTAAAAAAAAAAAAGAGAGATCAGCCAGAATAAAAGAAAAATACTAAGGTATCTATATTTTCATCACATTAATGATGATTGTGTTTTGGTATCTATCCAGTGTTTTCTTTGTACAGAAACATATAAAACACCTTCACAATAATAATAATAATGATGATAAACAGGATGAGGTACAGGGAGGCATTGACCTGCCCCCTGTTACCTTGTTAGTTAGCAGATCTGTGATCTGAACCCAGGAAACCTGGCACCAGAGTTCATGCATGTGGCTTATACTCTTCACTTTATATATATTCACCTAAACATCTTTCCATGTCACTAAGTATATCTCTATATACTAGCATTTTAAATTGCTTTTTAGTGTTCCTGTTATATGCCATATTTTACCATAACTTATATGCTTTTATCTAAGTACCAAATTCAGCATTATCAGTCATTTACTTTTTCCCATCTTTGCAAATTTTATTCTTAAAGATATCTTTGCTCATCTACTTAGAATAAAGTGAAATCTGTGTTGGCTCTCACCTTTAAAAGGTGGCATTTCTTAGCAACCCATATTTCTTCTTGGAGTAAAACCATCTCACCTTTATTTTTCAGGAGTGTGGACCAGTGTTGTGTTGGGGAAAGTTTCCCTCCCACGGCTTCTCCCTTCTTCCTGCTGCTCAGTCTGTTCCTGGGGACCTGCGCAATGCTGGTCAAAGAGACGGGCATCACGGTGTTTGGCGTCTGCTTGGTTTATGATCTCTTTTCTTTATCCCACAATCATGATAAATCGTAAGTCATGTCAAAGTTTTGCTGTCAAGCAGTGCATGATGTGCAGAGAAAAATTACTTAAATCAATAGTTTGAAATTTTTCATTAAAAAAATAGAGATACAACATTCTGTTAAATGTAACCTCATCTTGGGGGCTTTCCTGGTGGCTCAGTAGTAAAGACTCCATCTGCCAACACTGGAGACACAAGAGATACAGGTTTGATCCCTGGGTTGAGAAGATCCCATGGAGAAGGAAATGGCAAGCCACTCCAGTATTCTTGCCTGGGAGATCCCAAGGAGAGAGAAGCCTGGTGGATTGTAGTCCATGGTGTCACAAGAGTCGGACAGGACAGAGCGACTAAACAAAAACAAACCTCATCTTAGACCATGATATAGTAAGGCTTATTTCCTTAAGATAGATGCATTGTATGTGTTCAAACTCTTCAGACTTGTGTAAATGAGGATTATAAAGTTTTTGTGAGCACCAAATTTGGAATTGAAAAGTACCTATGCTAATTGCAAGTTTATATCACTAGATTGTTTTGGTTGTATAATACTGAGAAATCTTGATTCACACAGGAGAGTGGTTACAAATGGTAACAGTTTGTTAACAGCTTGCCTGGAATCTCTGCATTCACATAAGTGCTATCCTTCAAAGAACACCGCTAAATTGGAGTCTGTTTACTAGCTTGAGGGGTGGTGTATTTACCTAAGTTTTGAATGGGGCAGGGTGGTGGTGAGGGGGGGGGTGTTTTTGGAATTCCACAACAGACCAGTCTGAACCATACAGGAATAATTAATGGCATATCATATTCAAGTTAAAGAAAAGTTTATTTAGTAGCCTGTTTTCATTTAAAAAATGTAGGCACTTCCATATTGTCCTGTGGGTTATAGATGATAAGAATGACTAAGGCATTTTAAAAGTTCAAGCACATACTGTAATTTTCTTCCTCAGGATTACTAACAATGTGATGTGCAAACCCCATTTTTCAGTAATTATAAGGTCCTTACATTTGAACTTTTAATAAATGCAGCTGATTTATTCTCCGGCCTTGTCTGGAAAAATTTTATCTTAAAAAAAAAAAATCCTGCCTTTTTATCCCATTCCCTACCTCTTTATACTTTTTGACACAAAGATAAGAGCAGTGCTATTGCATGTCAACAAGCTGAGATGAGTCATTAAATTCCTGCCTGGGCATACTTGGAGATAATTTAAATAGATTTTAGTACTCTGCTAGCTCTCTGTGAATCTCAGAGGCGTGTAAAAGGAAGGAGCCTAGTTATCATTTTGACCCAAGCTTAGACCAAGAAAGCTGTGAGCCAGAGGACCTCCCTGTGGCTTATATGAGCGTGCCTCTCCTCGATATCCTTTTAACCAATCGCAGTAATTGCATTCCTGACCTTCCCATCAGCTCCTCTGGCTTTCCACTTGCTTCTGCCTCCTCTTTGTGTTTGCCGCCTTTGCTCTGTGACAAGTGACTGCAGACCTTCCCCTCTGGTCCCATCCAGAGATATTTTAACCTCATATCGACTGAAAAAAAAACACCCACAGAACTTGAAAGTTGAGAATTACGTTTTATTTGAGACCATTACTAAGGATTTATAACTTGAGAAAGCCCCTTAGATAGCTCTAAGGGAACTGTTCCATAGAGGTGAGGGAGGAACTAGGATGTATGAGTTTTTGCTGCTGGGGGGAAGAAAAAACCTATAGTTGAAACTCAAAGGAGTGCTAATCACAAAAAATCAGACATCTCAAGTTAGTGATTTAGTGCTTTTCAATATATTAAAAGATGCAAGAGTCTGGGTTCATTAAAATTTTTCCTTTGATATGCATCTCAGTTGTCTAGGGTCAGTATCCTGTTTTTCTCCATTCTGAATTCCCTCAGTATGCACCCTGGGGCCAGCTGCAGTGGCTGATAGCTTGATGGCAGGCAGCATTCTTTTGTCTACATTCAACTTGAAGTCTTATCTCCTTTGGTCTTAGGACTCCCCAACACATGGTTGCTTATAGTCCTTTCTTCTTCATCTGGTCACTATTGAGCTAGGCTTTTTTCAAAGAGGATAATTATCTCTTTTAGTCCTTTAGTAATTTTCTTGACCTTCATCATACCAGACTGCTGGAAGTTTTATGAAAAAATAATAATTGCTGATATGTAGCTTGGAAGTTGCATAGTTCATAGTCCATGGATTTTTTTTTTTGGTTTTAGTAACTTTTAGCTCTCACAACCACCAGCATCTCTGCATAGGTGGAGGCGTTCTTTCTTTCCTGCATCGTTTTCTCCACCTGTTCAATGCATTCCCATTTTGTGCCTGGCCACAAATAAGACAGATAAGATTCCTTCCCACAAAGGGCAGTGCTGGGGAAGACAGACATTACGTGAGTAATTACATGAGTACCTGAGTGCAACTGTGAACTTGGTAGGAAGGGACTGAGAACAGGTAACAGCGACTCAGTTCAGTTACGTTCAGTCGCTCAGTCGTGTTCGACTCTTTGCAACCCCGTGAATCTCAGCACGGCAGGCCTCCCAGTCCATCACCAACTTCCAGAGTCCACCCAAAACCATATCCATTGAGTCAGTAATATCATCCAGTTGTCTCATCCTCTGTCATCCCCGTCTCTTCCTGCCCTCAATCTTTCCCAGCATCAGGGTCTTTTCAGATGAGTCAGCTCTTCACATCAGCTCTTCACATCAGTATTGGAGTTTCAGCTTTAATATCNAGATCTTTTTTGTACAGTTCTTCTGTGTATTCTTGCCACCTCTTCTTAATGTCTTCTGCTTCTGTTAGGTCCATACCATTTCTGTCCTTTATTGAGCCCATCTTTGCATGAAATGTTCCCTTGGTATCTCTGGTTTTCTTGAAGAGATCTCTAGTCTTTCCCATTCTGTTGTTTTCCTCTATTTCTTTGCATTGATCACTGAGAAAGACTTTCTTATCTCTCCTTGCTATTCTTTGGAATTGCATTCAGATGCTTATGTCTTTCCTTTTCTCCTTTGCTTTTCACTTCTCTTTTCACAGCTATTTGTAAGGCCTCCTCAGACAGCCATTTTGCATTTTTGCATTTCTTTTTCTTGGGGATGGTCTTGATTCCTATCTCCTGTACAATGTCAGGAACCTCCATCCATAGTTCATCAGGCGCTCTGTCTATCAGATCTAGTCCCTTAAATCTATTTCTCACTTCCACTATATAATCATAAGGGGTTTGATTTAGGTCATACCTGAATGGTCTAGTGGTTTCCCCCAATTTCTTCAATTTAAGTCTGAATTTGGCAATTAGGGGTTCATGATCTGAGCCACACTCAGCTCCCAGTCTTGTTTTTTGCTGACTGTATAGAGCTTTGGCACCGTTGACTGCAAAGAATATAATCAATTTGATTTTGGTGTTGGCCATCTGGTGATGTGTAGAGTCCATGTGTAGAGTCTTCTCTTGGGGATACCTGATTGATAAGGGTATCTCTTGAGTGAAGGCTATGCTCCAGGAATGGGACCATGCCATTTACAGGTATAAAGTTACTTACTGCTGACAGCTGTTACCCTTGTTTCACAGAGCAGAAAGTACAGACATAGAAAGTAACCTCTCCAGGGTCACCCATCCCTGATTTGGATTCTGTCTGTGTAACTCCAGAGTCACAGGGTTACCCCTGAGCACCTGCCTCCTTGGGGCACATGTGACTGGGGCCAGTAACCTCCCAGGGCATCTGCAGCTCAGAGCCTGGGCTCACATTAGTAGTAGGAGATGATCTCAGAGGTTCTGCCTATATTGGAGGGTCTTGACTCATTGAGAATCTCACATAATTGTGTCTCCTTTTCCCAGAAATTCTTATCTGCTAGTTTAGAATAAGGGCTTCCCGGGTGGTGCAATGGTAAAGAACCCATCTGCCAATGCAGGAGACATAAAAGATGTGGGTTCAATACCTGGGTGGGAAAGATCCCCTGGAGGAAGACACGGCAACCCACTCTGGTATTCTTGCCTGGAGAATCCCATGGACAGAGGAGCCTGGCGGGCTACAATCCATAGGGTCACAAAGAGTCGGACAGGACTGAAGTGACTTAGCATGCATGCATCTATCCTTTTGGATTCTGAATTTAGGTTGTTTTCACTTTTTTGGTTATTATATACCATGCTGGAGTTAGGTTTTGTGTGCACATACCTGCCGGTTTTCCAGGGCATAACCACAGAAGTGAGGTTGTGGGCCCACAGATAGATACATAGTCACTGTGTTGATGTGGAGCTATTCTCTTGAAATAACTGCAGCAGTGGATGAGAATCCTCTTGTTCCACATTCTCCCCATCCCTGAGTAGTGTCAGACTTTCAAATTTTTGCCCAGCTAATGTTATGGAATATATCTCAGAGGATTCATGGAAGAACATGTGAGAATAAGTTTCATGGATCATCTGTAAACACATTTTTACAAGATCATAATTAATGTAAATCCCAAATATCCCTCCAGCTAGGTTATGAGAATTCAACTTATATATATTATGAGAGAAATGTATGAGGAGGATGAGAAGTGGAGAGTGTCTGTATGTGTATTGGTGACCACATGAAAGGATTGAATCTTCATCTTCTCTTGTAATGAGCCAATGTGACAAGTTCTAAAATTGGAAATAAAATTATTTAGTGTTATTTTAAAAATATCATGATAAATATCAGAAACAGAAGAGCTCAAAGATTTGGGAATAGTTGCTTCCAAGGAACAGGGCTTGGGGAGGGGATGGGGACCGCTGTACCTTGTTGCAGGTCTTGTCGCTCCTTTTAACGTTGTTTCCTCCTCACAATTAGGAGCAACGGGGTCATCCATCAGCGCAACCCACAGCAGCCTGGAAGCTCCCCGACAGCACACCCTTTCCGGGAGAATGGGAAGCAGCAGCGGTTCCCTCACAAAGGAGCTTGGGGTGGCTGCCATGCCATGCCGTCTGAACCCAAGAGCAGTGGATTCCCCGTGTCTCCTGGAGCTGTGTGGTCCTTGATGAGGTACTGGACTGGGCTCCTTGACCTTGTGTGATTTTACCATCCAGCATCACCTGTTGCAGGGGGATCACTGGAGAAGTGAAGCGCCGAGTCAGTTCTTTGTGACACCCCCACTCTTGTCAGCCTCCTTTCTTTTCCCTTCCCCATTTCCCTTCCTCTTTCTTTCTTCCTTCTCTTCCCTATCCCGGGTCTTCCGTGTCATATCAGATAAGAAAGGAGTAGCAGGAAGAAGTAGAAGCCCTGCTGGCTGCTGTTATTTGGAAGGAGAGATGAGGCTGTGAAGCCTCAGTTAAGCAGTACAAGCATTCTGCTGCTTCCCTGGGGGAAGAGCCCTGCACATCAGAGCGCAGGCCCCTCGGTTTTCTTTGGGAGGAGAGCTCTGCCTTCCCCTGCCCAGACTCCCTGCTTCTGGTGTATGATAATGAAAGGTTGTTGCTGAGCCATGAAAAATGCCAGGATTCATTTTTGGTCTTGGATTCAAAAATAGCCTCTGGAGGAGAGGAATCCAGGGCCAGTGACGAAGCTTGATCACTCAGAGCTTTTGTATATTAAAGTTTTATTAAAGTATAAAAGAGAGAGCTTCTGACATAGACATCAGAAGGGGGCAGAAAGAGTGTCCTCCTGCTAGTCTTTAACAGGAAGTTATATACCTACTCGCAGGCTGCTAATTAGAGAAAGGAAATGTCTCGTAACTCAGAGAATGGCACCAGGCCCCTCACCCACAACATGCATTTTGAGATAGCATTGGCACAAGGTGAGTCATCCTGGGCCATAAAATGTTTGAGATGAATCTTGAAGAGGCAGGTTTCCAAGCAAATACATGGTCTCATTAACATAGATTAGGAGAACAATGTATGAGTAAAACATATTGCTTTTTTGAGCCATTATCATTTCTGAGTCTTAGTCTTAGGCGGAACCAACTTGAGGAAAGACAGAGTTTAAGGTAAATACATTGTTCATTAACATAGCTCAAGAAAAACATTTCCATAGGGGGAAAAAAAAAAACGCACTAGTTAGCTCAAAGTTTGAGAAAAGTTAAGTTCAGGTGGAACAAGGTGTTGTCATGGCAACACAGAATTTTGAAAGAAACCTCCTTTTAATTTTGTATAAAGAAGGGAAAAAAAAATCTGACACTTGTAGTTTGTTTATTCCTGCCACTTAAGAGAGATTAAAAAATGTCTGACACTTCCAGCTTATTCCTCCATTCGGGGCCCCTAGTCTTCCTGCCTGTTACCCTCTCAATAGGAATTTATTACAGCGCAGGTATATGAGGTAGCCTCATATAGCCTCAGGTATAGAGGTATAGAGGCAGCCTCAGGTAGCCTGCCTCTCAGGAATGTTTCTGAGGGTTCAGGAAGATCTTCTTTAAAGGACAACATCTTTCTTTAAAAAAAATCTTTGGACCTAGCCATGAAAATTATCATAGATTTATCAGAACAGGTACTTGGCTAAATTAGCTTGCCACTAAAAGAAGGAAATGGCAACCCACTCCAGTACTCTTGCCTGGAGAATTCCACGGATGGAGGAGCCTGGTAGGCTACAGTCCATGGGGTTGCAAAGAGTCGGACACAACTGAGCGACTTCATTTTCAAAATAACTCAAGCCATAGGCAAGTAAGAATTTAATAAAGATGGAAATTTGACTCATACTATTAGCACTTAAGTAGCAGATTGCTATTCTTACTCTTCTCTCCAGTCCCAGAAAGCTCCCTGTTTTGGGGTGTCTTTGTTTCCAATTAGTCCTGCTTTTACCTGTCTCTTAGATCATACTCCATTTATTCATTCATCAGCAAAGATCTACTGAATGTCTGCCATGTGCCTGGCATGTTCCAGGCAGGCACCAGGGCTGTACTGGGGTTTAAGGAGGACGAGATCCTTGGCCCTGTGTAGCTTTCCTTCCAGGAGAAGAAGACAGACTAAGTAACCAACAAGGTGCGAACAGTGTGGTGGAGAGTGGTGGGTGAGCCTGGCTGGGGCGAATTCCCATTGGTTGGTCAGGGAAGGTCTTTGAATCCTTGTGGATGAGAGGAGGCGCTCACCCTGCTCAGATCTGCACAGAGGGTTCCAGCCCTGGGATAACTGGCAAGTGGGGATGGGAAGGGGCTAGTTCAGGGGGTGGGCAGGCCTAGATGGTGAAGAGTGTGTTGGCCATGGGAGTGAATTTGGATTTTATTCTGAGTGGAATGGGGAGACTTTGGAGGGCATTGCTGTTGTTTGCTTGTTTGTTTAATGTGGCAAGATGTGGTTATATTACAAATGTTCAGTCTTATTTCTTGTGGTGCTTTATTTAGGGGCAAGAGCAAAGCAAGGAGACTTTCATACTGATTGAGGGGAGAAAAGAGGTCTTGGCTGAGGGTGATGGAGCCTGAGATGTAGGCATACGGTGGATTTTGGAGACATTTTGGATATAGATTTAACAGGACTTGCCGATTTAGGGGAAAGGGGTGAGGGAATGGCAGGAAACGAGGGTGTTCAGGTTTCTAGCTTCAACAGCTGGGTGGGTGGCACTGAGATGGAACGGCTAGAGGAAAAGTTGGTTTGGGAAAGGATAAAGTCACAGAAATGCATGAAATTCCTGAGCAAGAAAGAAGAGTGATAAGCTGTCAAAACCTTGAACTAATCTTGACTTTTTAGTACAGGGCGTGAAAGAAAAGAGGGTAAAACATTTGGGGGAAATTGTAAATTTTTTTAAGGAAGGCAAAGGAGAAGAAAAAAGAAGAATAAGTAGAGCATTGGAGACTCTCATGAAGGGACAGAAGGCAGGCTGCAGTGTGACTGACTTCCACCAGTCAGACTGGGTACATACAGTGACTGAGTTCCATACAGATATGACTGTATTGGCTTCTGCGCTCAGTTGTATCCCCAGATCCTCTTATAGTGTCTGGTTAATTGTAGTTGTACAAGTATTTGTGAAATGAATAAATTAATGAGTAGATGGTAAGAAAGTATTGAAATTAAGCAAAAATAGATATAGTCATTTCTTATAGGACAGTATGAGCTCTAGTACTCCAGTGAAGACCGTCCTTCAGGAGGGGAAGAAAGCGTTACATCTGTTATCTATCACTATGTACCAGGAAGCGGGCTTGCACTGCCCACGTGTTATTCCATGCAGCCATCACAACATTTGTTTAGGGTAAATCTTACAGTTTGCTTATCAGGTGGAAATGGAAGATCTTAGAGAGGTTAAATGGTCATTTAACACATTTACATCGTGGGTAAGTGGTAAAGTCAGGATTGGAATTACAACTGCACAGCCACAAATCCCGTGTCTTGCCTGTTTGCTGTGCTCTGAAGTCTAGAATCCCAGGTGAGAACTTGGCTTTGGGGAGGAGGCAGGACAGCGGTGTCATGCTCTGTGCAGCTGGCCTCCCTGCTCAGCTCTCAGGGATAGAAGATTCTTGGCAGCCATCCGTGGGTCCACAGATAAGGCCTCTCCTGATTGGCTTTAATGTAGACTGTTGGTGCTTATACATTGAATTAGGTGCTATGCTTTTTAAAAAAGTTTTTTTAAACTCTGAGCCTCAGCCTATTTAGAAAGAATGTTGCTTGGAGAGCAGTGCACAATACAAGTGGAACTGGGTCAGGATCTTTCTAAGTGAACATGTTTGTGAGCAAGAAGGACCATTATCCTTCCTTGAGAGGAAACTTGTCATATATTTTCCTTCTCAGGAAAGGAAAGGTATCATGTATTTGACTACAAATTTGATTAGTGTCAAAATTAGTTTTAAAAACTATGCTTGCCCTTTTTTCAGAAGGTGATCAGGTAAAGAAAATAAAAGCTCAAAGAGGCAATGTTATCTTAGTTCTAAAGATATCTGCGGACAGTGTTTAAATCAGGAATCCTTCACTTACCAGGTCCTGGACAAGTTCTTTTATCTCTGTGAACATCAGTTTTCTCATCTCCCCAAAAGGGGAACTAATTGTAACATCTTACTCTCAGATTGCTTGTCAGGACTCAGAGCTACAGTAAAAGCAGGTAATAAGTCTGTAAACAAGTGCCTGGCACACAGTGGCCATTTGGTGCGGCAGCCAGCAGCATCATTAGTAGTAGTTCAGAATTATAAATATTATTATTCCTTATGACTTTCTAAACACTGGAATGTGACTTTCTAAACACTGAAACTGGTGAACCTGCAGTATACAGGCAAGGAATGTGTTTTTATGAAATTTTTTTTTCTTGCTAGTATGTATTTGCGTTGCATGGATGGCATTAGGCTGTCAGAAATTAGTCTGCATACTATCAGATAAAATGTATTCAGAAGTTACCAAACACAGGGGGACCATCCCAACCCAGGGAAAAATCATACTGTAAGTCATTTATTTAGTTGCCTGTTTTTCTGCATGGCTTAGTGATTGTCTTATAGGTAGCAAGTGGCAAGTGCAGTGAACCTAGGACTTAGGGTAGACACTCTGGAATCAGATGAAATTTCAGTTCATTCCATCTTTTGCTCAGTTGCTCCATGTGAAGTGAGAAGTGTAAATCTTCCTTCTCCCACCCTCTTCATTACATACAGTTCATTCACACATGAATATCCTTTCCCTTTCACCTTAGAAAACTCAGTGAATTCTACCTGAAATCTTATTCTCATAACTCACATCTGTTTCTATAACTATACGTAGTCATTTTTCATATATAGACCTGATATTTAAATCACAGTGATTGCAATTGGTATTGAAGAGAGTTCTTGGCTCAAGAGCTGTCTCCTTTATTCTGCTGCTCTGCGACATCTGTCATGAATCATCCATTCTGTCAGTATTTACCAAATGCCTCCTATGATCAGGCACTGTTTTGGGTGTTGAAAATATATGATAGTGAAGTGAACAAAGCCCTGCCTTTATGGAACTTAGCTGGATGATGATCATGGTGTTTTCACTTAAAATGGGCTCATTTTCAATCTTTGTGGGCAAGACAGTGGTTAGATTTTTCACTTCCATGTGTTTTAAAAGTCTTTATTGTATTCCTTGCACAGAGGCCTGCAAATAAAGGCAAGTTTAGGACTAGAGAACAGGTTGTCACTCAAGTGAAACTGTGACGTCATTAAATTCAGGGGAATTAGAAAAGCATATAAATATTTTGACCTTCACTGATGGAATGGATCACTGACCTTTTAAGTGTTGTTTTAATACTTTGGGGTTTCCCTGGTAGCTCAGATGGTAAAAAGCCTGCTTGCAGTGCAGGAAACCTGGATTTAATCCCTGGATCAGGAAGATCCCTTGGAGAAAGGAATGGTAACCCACTACAGTATTCTTGCCAGGAGAATTCCAGAGACAGAGGAGCCTGGTGGGCTATAGTCCTACTTCTGCAGACACTGCACTGTACTCTTCTTCCCTGAAGTAAGAAGTGTTTTGTAGATTAAACTCCTGAAGTCGGATTTTGAACTTCCCACAAATTGATCTTGTGAGTAGGGCAAAAGTGTTTCAGATCATTATTAATAGCCTCATGTCAGCTTTGAGAGAAACTTAGTAAGCTAGTGAAATGAGATTTTTAGGTGACAGCAACAGATCTATGTTGAAAGCCATCTGTATTACTTGTGAATAATTGGGCTCTCCCAC